ATATATATATATAACACAACCGGAGATGAACTCGTCCAATCGTCCGACCCTGCTTGACGTTGTATGACTTAAGATTTGCATTTAGAATTCTGTGAATCTGATGACTTTTTGGTGCAGTGAATCAAAACGGCAGAATATATTACGCTTGTTTTTAAGGATTACACCGTCATTATCTTCATGGCTACATTGGATTTACAAGACTTGATTCATCAATACAGTGACATAAATATACACTCAGATATTTCTGTTCATTAGCTTACCCTCATTGATTTAAATGTAGTGGACCATACGTGACCATACAGTTCAATCTAAAACCGTTTGAACAATAGCTCAACACCATAACCTTCCTGAAGGTGGTATTTATAACAGGACTGCATTAGTTTCCTCTGTGTCACGACTCTGCTGTTATTGCCACACACACTTACACTCGTGCGTAACACGGTTGAGTTTGTTCCAGGCAGGTTCAAACCGATGCCGTCTTTTTAAAGTGGAACTTGTGAGTTCATGTTTTTCGACATGAGAAGCTAAAAGTGCAGTGCGTAAAATGTGCTTGGTGAGAAAGAGGTTTAAGTCGTTGCCAGGCAACTGGTTTTCCAAAATAAATGTTGCCTTGTTCTCTTTTTTTTTTTTTTTTTCCGAAAGCGTTGAATGATGTCGTCTCCAACCTTTTCAATGCACCGTTGAAAGCTGTTCACTCTACCGGTCGGTGACGTCACTGCAGGTGTTTGTGACCTAACGGGTCGAGGTTTCAAGACGCAAGAGACGAGCTTTGGACGACGGGACGTGTACATAAAAGAGAAGTTACAAACGTGTACTTCCATCTATTCAATGTGCAAGATGATTTGGAGATTTAATTCTGACTGAATTGGTGTTTTGAACAACATAGCGTAATAATTTAAGCGTAAGAGGGCAAACGTTCATTCATTCAAACGTTCATTCATTTATTTGTCTTTAGTCTCCCTCTTAGTTCATTTACTCATTTACTCACACTGCACACACAGTCACAGCTAGCATACCTGCGCGGACGGTCCTACAAATGTGTATTCACAGCTGCAGTGCACGCAGAGGACACACGAGCGGTGCATCATTATTGCCATTAGCGAGTATTGCTGGAGGAACTATCCGCTGCTCTCAGAGCAATCTGCGGTGTGCATGAAAAGGATCCTCCTCGGTCTGTCTCCCTCCATCCCTCCTGATGCAGAAATAGATGGCCAGGAGTGCACATTAAACCGCCTAACATCATTCAGAACTTTATGTAGTCCCAGTGCAGACTTGCACTGTCACAATCCATCTGTCAGAGTGACTCATGATATGGTGATATGAGATGTCGTCTTTTCCTGCCTGTGATGTAACAATCGGCAGCGGATTGCAGATGATCAGTGTCACGGTGGATTAATTGTGGAACATTTATTACATAGATTTTAATAAGCAGTGCAGGACGTTTGGACTTGCTCAGCCCAAAATGTCTCGTTGAAAACGTCGCGGTGGCGTTCAGAAAGCTGTTATTCAAGGTGTTCGTGCTACGCCGTCTGCCTAAAAGCAATAAGATGGTCGGGCAAGGCCGTCTGTTGAGTCAGCCTTCAGCGTGGAATGGAGATAACTGAAATACCAGGGAGATGAGCGGAGACCAACGCCGGCACCCAGTCAGCAGAACCAAGAACATTCCTGAAGAGAAAGTAAAGATGGGTGAAAATGTAGATATGAGGGGGACACGGAGGGTAGAGAGAGCTTCCTGCACCTGAAATCCCCAATTCATTACTCTACAGATGTTGGTTGCGCCTTGTGAAGTGTAGCAGCGTACAGATCGACCGTCAAAATCTGTTGAAATCACAGACTGTATATAAGAAGTGGACGTAGTCACTCATTGGTTAATGGACTGCTGAATTGAAGCCTTGAGTTCTGCGATTTTACCGTCGCCATTTTGGATTACGGCCGTCGCCATCTTGGCTTTTTTTTGCGACCAGTGAACGGAAGTGACCATATTTGCACTGCGGAGGAGTGACTTAGATACGCTGTAGACAGCTCTGGTAGGGTAGCGACCTGTCAATCACAAGGTAGCCCCACCCTAAAGCATACCCGGCTCTATGGTCTATTTTTTAAATTTACTAAATGAACATCATGCTGTATTGAAGAAGACTTGAAACTAGAGATTGAGACCATAAACTCATGTTTACAATGTTTACTGAGGTAATAAATCAAGAGAGAAGTAGAGTCATTTTCTCATAGACTTCTATACAACCAGACTTCTTTTTGCACCTGCTGGTCAGTAGAGAGAATGCAAGTGTTAAGACGCTTCCACATCGGTTTTACTTTGTAGAACTGGAGGTTTCCGCCTGGTTGAAGTATCCTTTTATCTTTTTTTAAAACACACGGTGATGTGCTGTGGACTCTGTTTGACTATATGTGCATAAACAAACCTTGACTTTGACTAGACTTCAGTGAACAACATTAAAAATAGCTCTTCAGGAATAAGAATAGCAGCGGAGCCTCTGATTCAGCGTTCATCAGCTTTTTATGAATGACTGGTGGGGACTTTTGCTCTGGTCGTTGTTTGTCACTCATTTCCTGTCTAGTGTCATTGCTTCCTGTCTGAGAAGTGGGCATGTGCCTCTGTGTCACTGGAAGAGGTTGTTATGATGGAGCGCTGTTAGCTGTCCGGATGTGGTTGGTTCACACACACACACTCACACTTGCTCCCACTCTATCACTTAATCCATGCTTCCTCTTAGATACGATATGCATGGAGACAATTTGTTCTTTGGTGGGTGTGAGAATATCTTTACAGGGGATTTGGTTTCAAGACACTTCCTCGTCTCCAGTTCTGAGCACGATTCAAACACTAAGATTCTGGTTTGATTTGTAACGTCGGCTGAAACTGATTTGAGGTCCTTGTACTTTTCCATGTTATGCAACGTTATACTTCTACTCGGAGGCAGATATTGTAGCATTTACTCCGCTACATTTTGTCTGACTGTTTCAGATATAATTTGTCCTCCAAATTTTGTGATTTTACATTAGATTTCCAAATAAATCCATAAACTAAACCTTTTTTTTGTGTTGAGTAAATTCTCCTACTCATTAAGCTGAATAAGGTACTAATACATTGTCTCGGATCAGCTGGAAAAATGCATCGTCACAAAGCGGCGCTACAAACACGTAATGATATTATAGAATATGATCCATTGCTGTGGATTAAACTACCCAGCAGTATATAAAAGAGTTAAGATCAGCACAACCTTAAACATCTAGAGCAGGGAAATGTAACATACAAACAATCACAGCAGTCGTATTAATCCAAAAACACTCACAGGAAACGTTTTACTGCACAATGACTGCTTTGACCTTTGACAGGCTACTTAAAGTACATTTTACTGATGATACTTGATACTTGTTTTTTAAGGTAAGGTTTCTCGTAAGTGTTTTCACAGTGTTTTATTTAAAGGATCTGAATACTTCCTCAACCGCTGAATAGAATGCAGCAAAGACCTGACAATCAAAAAATGTCACGAGTGTAATATGAGAGGTTCAATGAACGCAACTTCTAAGTACTTATTGTAAAAACACTGCAGTAACTGTGTGCAAACACATATTCCTACATGCGCACACACACACACACACAAACGCGTCTCTGTCACTGACTCAGCCGCTGTGTGTGTGTGTGTGTGTGTGTGTGTGTGTGTGTGTGTGTGTGTGT